AGGACTGGTTAACTACAGCCCAAATACTACACTTCAATGTAGTAACTGACCCTGAAGAGTACTGAACATCCTCAGCTGCACAGAGAAGAAATCAGTATGCATTTTACGACATATTGGATGCTTTAGGATTCAGGCCATAACCTCACGATAAAGTAAAAATCCCAGACAGGAGCTAGATGCAAAAGTTGTAAAAAACAACAACAACAACAACAACACAAAAAAAACCCCAAAAAACCCACATGCAAGAGTAGACAATAGCTGTTGTGTCATAACTCTAGCAGCTGTGAAGCTACTGCTGCATGGAATTAGACACTACGGAGAACACTCACACTACTTTCAAGATTATTTTCCTTTTTGATAGAGTTATTCATATCTATACAGTTTCTCATGGACAGCCAATGTAATTGTGCATGAAAACACTGTTAAGCTATTGTCTTTAGTTTGAACTGGAACAATCCATATCTCAAGCCTACTTCTTCCTAAGAGGCAAAGTTAGATTAATACTAGCTGTGCAGTTTTTATTTGCAACAGTTACGGTTAACAACTTTATTCTTTCTGCAGTTAAAGCTTGCATTTTTAAGGCCAAATAGTATGAGACAAATGATTCCCCAGTCAGCTCTGCATTCAGCTCTGAGATTACAGTCTTCTGATATAATTATTTAGAAGTTCAGCAAAATAATTCATAATGTTGTCCTTCTCTATGTTCTTCTGCCAGAAACACTATCTTAACATAATGTGCATCAGATAGTTACCTACGGCATTTTACTAAAGAATATAAAGAACAAAATTTATCAATAATTTAGTAGTGTGCTGTGGTGAAAAGAAAGCAACCACGACAGATGTAGCACGTATTCAAGCGCGAAGCTGAGTGTGCCATTGCTAGATGCAAATTCAAATACTCTTGTAAATTTTTTTTTTTAAAAAAGAAAAGGCAAACAACCCTCCCAAACAAAAACCTGTTAATTCAACACAAGAGAACCCTGTCTACCAAGAGCCCTACATCACAGCACCATTACACATGGGGGAAAAAAAAAAACCCACAAAATACAGATCACTTCTCTTGTCACTCACAGTCAAATAGAACAAGTCCATTAAGAGAAAGAAAAACAATCTTGTAGTTTACAGGAAAATATAAATTTAATAGGACACTATTCTATACCTGCTTTATAGAAAATGCAATGCAGGTGTATAAGATGCTGTTTTAACAGTGCATCAGATACAGTTATTTAAAGTGTCAGTTGGATCCCTTGTGATACTTAGCCGCAGAGTAGAGGCCTGCAAAGCTGCATTAGGGGAGCTAGCTTACTCCTTGGCTAGCACGGGAGAACAGGCTCTCAGCAACCAGAAACTTTTGCAAATGGCCATTTCTGCATAGAGATAAATTAAAAGAATCTGAGGCCTTGCCATCAGAAACAAACGATAGCATCATGAGATCAGACAACAAACTTCTACATTTCCAAGCTGGCCTGAAAACAGCAGTTGGTCTATGAGGCTCTAATAGTGTTTGTTAGCTTAAAAAGCAAGGAAAATAATACATTCAGAATGCCCTTACCTGAATGGTTAAGGTAAGGATAGCTCAACATACTCTGATATGATTTAAAGGCATAATAATAGGGATAGAAGAGGTCACTCAAGAGGTCATCTAGCCCATGTTTGATCTCAGCACAAAGTGAATAATCTACAGCTACAGCCTGTATTTAAACTAATATGATTTATGGTATTTAAAACTGTTTTCATGTGGAATGGAAAGCTATGAAGTAAGGCTTAGCAGTATTTATTTTGTAGAAATAAGGCAACAAAAAAGTAAAATTAACAACATGAACTTACCTCTAGAAGAGGGTTTAAAGAAGCCAAGGACAGTATAGATATCAGGCTGATAAAATAAAATGTCTCAATATTGCACCATCCTTGCACTTATTTCCAGTGGAAATAAGTGCTTAATAATAATAATATGGCTTACAGTGAAGTACAAGAACTGGAAATCCTAGCACATATTAAATATGAGACTGCATACAGACAATCTAAACCGTTATTTGTTTCTCCAATGGCTGGTTTCAGAAAACAAGTGTAATATGATTAATACACCCACCTCACGAACTTCATTCTCCTTCATGACATGCCTTGTAATGTATCGGATAGAATCTAGAGCTGCTTGCAAGGTGTTCCTAGATGATTCTGAGCCACTGATATTGACCGTTTCCTCCTTCCGAGCACAGTATCTATCTACATGACTTCTCATGCAAAGCAGCTTAGGAAGCCTGTGAAGAAATATCTTGCGGACCCAAGGCGCCATAGCATTGTGCGTAGATGAAGACCGGTGATGAATATTGATAGCAAAGACTGTTATCACAATGGACAATGTCACAAATATCATAGTAAACACCAAGTACTCTCCTATAAGTGGAATAACTTTAGAAGATGATGGAATAATCTCTTCAATGACAAGAAGAAAAACAGTCAAAGAAACCAATACTGAAGTGCAAAGGGAAATTTTTTCACCTTCATTTGAAGGAAGATAGAAGACGAGGACAGTTAAAAATGAGAGTCCTATACAGGGAATAATGAGAAACAATGTGTAAAAAAGTGGCAAACGCCTAATTATAAATGAATATGTAATAAATGGATACCAGCAGCACCCATCAGTTCTATTTCCTTTACTCCCTGTTGCAGTCACTATTTCCCATTCTCCGTTATCAAAGAAATCTCTTTTGTCAACATCATAATCTTCTAGAATTATATCAACCTGTGAGCCATCATAAGTCCAGGAACCAAATTTCATAGAGCAGTTTTGAAGGTCAAAGGGGAAGAAGGTTACGTCAATAGTACAGGAACTTTTGTAGTTTGCCGGTGGAGTCCAAGCAACGGTGCCATCATATTTTACCACAGTTTTTGTAGATGTTCCCTCAAAACGCCCATCTGCACTGAAAGAAGAGATACATGCATGCAATTACAATGTGTTGTTTATTTTTATAAACATATATGAATATAAACATATATATTCAAAGGAAAATAAGTTTTATTTAAGGCTTCATCAAGTATTTTTATTACTGTCATTTCAGCTGCTTATCCTTTCTACCCCTTCACAGCCAAAATTTTTTTATTTGCGTTCGTATTCCACTTTTTTTAAATCTGAATCTCACACAGATAAACAGCTTTGGAAGAGCAAAGAGCATTTTCAAGTCATGAAAAAGTCTGCAAGCTTCTGTGGTCTTAATAATTTAAGTAAAAGATTGGGGAAAAAAACCCCAGCAACAACAATAAAACCAAAACCCCCTGACCTTTGACAGCACAATCAGACTCTGATGTTTCTATCGGTAATACACCACCTGTACTCTTCAGTTTGGGAAAATTACACTAACTAAAGAAAAATTCACCAGAGAAAATAATCCCTGTGTACCACCTCCAAACTTACATTCATAATCACTGTAGCAGACTACTTTTTCCACTCAGCAAGTGTGCTACAATCACTGTACACGCATCTGAGTTGAACAAAAAGGTTCACTCAGAATGTATTTCTTCCGAGATCTGTTACTTTCCCACAAAACGTAAAGCCAAGTGTACTTAATTTTAAATTCATGATGAATGTAACTTAAAATAGTAGGGATGAGTTGCTCCCCTCCCATCACTCCACATTATTAGCTTGGACCCGGTATCATCACTCCACATTATTAGCTTGGACCCAACATCGGGCAAGATACCGTCTTCCTACTGAGAAAGAGTTTACATGAAGATGTGACAGTAAACTTTTCAAAGACTAGAAATTCCATACAGAAGCAAAGCAAAAAATTTAAGCATTTAAACAAAGCAACAAGAAAATAAATCTGCATTTGGAGGCAAATTGTAAAGCCTTCCCACATATTCTTAGCTCTGCTTAATGCATACACATAATCCATTCAATGAGTCTCTTCTATAAGCAGGCTGGATAGTGAAGTTAGAAAGAGTAAATGTATTTTACATGAAAGGATTAAAATCTTACTTGTCATACAAAACAATATCTGGAATCCAAACAGAATCTGATGGGACACGAATAGATGTTATGCCAGCATAGTCCTCAGGATTCCACCTTAATTTTACATCTATCCATTCCTACAAACAAATGGAGATGTAAAAATAACAACTGTGAAATTGACTCAAGCAGGTCAAGACTGGACGAAAATACATATAAAGGCAATGGAAAAAAAGATTAAATTGGCTTCTAAAATGTGAGTACAACAGTGCATTTGCTGAATAGATGTCTACCTACCTCCTTAAGTGTTTGCTTTTTGTTGTAAGAGCCATTTGGCAATATTTCTATGTAAAACTTAAAATATTAAAATCCTTTTTCAGATTATGTTTACAAAAGTAAAAGCTATTACAAGTAGAAACAACCAAATTTAAAAAAAATGTATTCTGAATGAACACGAAGGAGTTTGGAAGCTTATCAGAAGCAATCTAAACTTTCTGGTCAAAACTAACAAACAAAAAAACATGTTGCAACTCTCATGACATATTCCTTCCTATTTTCAGCAGCAGCACTAAAAATAACACCACTAAAAGCATGTTAATGTTTTGATAGTTTTATATTTGAATAAAAAGCTCAAGAGGAAAAAATGCAAGTTTTAAGAGTTTAAACACATATTCAGGTTTAAGTTTAAATATGTATTCAGGTCAGCTCTTATCCACAAGTTCTGCAAAAACAGCTGCTAAAGGGGCAAAGTGTTATCATCTACATTATCATCTACATATTCCAATTTTATATTTTCTGGGTAGTCTACAAATTTCTTCTGAAAAGAAACGCCTGAACTTATGTGACAGCGATAGGGGAAGAAGGGAATCAGGAGCAACAGGACAAAGGAAGTAGCCCAAGTACAAATAACACAGTAAGTATAATTAGGGGCCACAAACATTCCCCAGAGTTAAATTAAGAATGATTTGTGAGATGTATGTCCCAAGCTAACAGCGGTCACCAAGTTTAGCATTGGATTCTAATTTTATAAAGCTTGAGTCTTTTTCCTGCTCATAAAGAAATATTCTTAAGAGGAAAAAGTAGCTCTTTATGTCAAGCCTATCCAACTTTGAAAGTAAAATTCTTCAGCAATGTTTATCCGATAGTCTAAAATATAACGCAAGAGACTGACTTTAAAACAATTACACACATGATTACAGAAACCTATCATGTTTTTCTTACCATAGCTTTTTGAAGAAAAGTTCTGTAATAAGGCAGTAACTTTCAAGGTTGGCTATATGTATCTTTGTTTACTAAATATCAATGCAATGCTTTATCAGATTTTTTTAATCAGGTAAAGAACTCTTATTTACTTTTTTAAACTAAGTTTTATAACAATTTCATAACAATTAAATCTTGTAAAGACATTTTGTAAAGATCCCATGTAAACTAAGGATTAATGCAACTAAAGTGATGTTCTGAATACACAAATAATTAGAAATCTGGCTTCCAACTTCTGGCTTCCAGTTACAATGCTTCAGAATTTTCTATTGATACTTTGCACCTACCTGTTTCAACCAAACATTTGTCGTCATTAATTGATTTTTCTCATCCTATAAAAACAAAGTATATTTTATGAAAAAATGAAATAGTATAGCACATTCATCGTAACTAACTGCTTTAGTTCAAATAGGTCTGCATTTTAAAATACAAAAAGCAGTTCTAAAAGCATTCCAATCCCTGATAAATATATTTATATGAAATAACTAAGATCAAGAAGTGTTAACTGTTAAAAAAAAAACTGGGTTTTTTTTCCCCTTCTACATCTCTTTCCTCCCTTCCCTTTCTCAATTTGACTGCCTTGTACACAGTCCTACTGTTTTTTCTGTGGAAACATAAAGGAACAATAAACCTGTGGGGGAAAAAAATCCTCTTACAGCTATAAACAGTGAATTCAACTTGAAAATAATATTTTAAAGCAAGTGAGTTTTAGAAAAAACATCAGGTTGATCTCTTTAACACTACAGGTTATGCCAAAAGATAATCTTCATTTCTATGGAAGTGAAACATTTAAAAGCTTTTAGGTTTTTTGTTGCTTATAGGGGAAAAAGGGTAGTATTTGCAAGTGTTCCTGAATTTTACAGAAATGAGACTAACAAGGTTTAAAAATATACATTTTTTGCATTGAATACATAAAATGAACTTCAATTCCCTAGGCTTATTATGAATTTCACTCACTTTTTCTTTTGCAGTAAACTTTACTAAATCTAAGAGTTGCTTGTTACCTCAGCCTCTTTTTCTTCACTTCTTTGACCTCTTATTTGTGCCCCCATCTAAAATGCATTTTCATTATGCTGATAATCATTTTAAAGGTTTAACTACTGTGCTTAAACAAAGAGATGAACAATTATTTCATACAATATTATGTTGCTCTTTACTATTCCAGAATTTTAAGAATTAAAGGGAAAAAAAGTATATACGATACATACCACATCTACTAGTTGAGAGATTGCAAGACCAAACTTTATTTTTATTGTATCATTCAACCGTTCCACTGGACGAACCCATCTTTGATAGTCTTGAAATAAATGTCTAAACAAACGATCTTCACTTTTAGCAATAAAAGAAGGTTCAGATATGCCTATAGAAGAAAGGTATATTGTTAATATTGATTGATATTAATAGAGTATATCTGTGTTCCTATGTCCAAACAGCTACCGCTATGCTTATGCAGAATTAATTTTCTCATCTTATCCCCTTTTCTCTAGAAGCATGGTCAAGGTCTTGGAAGGAGCACTTTATAAAATTACCTGTTTTTCCTTAGTATCTCCATACGTCTATCACACCGCTGAAATCTAAGGCCCAAGAACATCAAAATAATTTTAGTAATAAAAAAGGCAAAATGCTCTTATATCACGTACCTGGTGCCACGTAATTATGGAAATCTAAAGCTAAAAGCTCGCCAAGATGAGGGAGTGAGGTTGTGTCACTCTAAACCAAGGTAGCACTTAATAACAGCACCTGCATCCCTGTTATACACGTCTTCAGCATATTGTAACTGACGAGGCCTTGCATAACTGGTGCTGTTTAAAACATCGTTATCTTCATGTTTTATAGGTTATTTCTTCTAATGTTTATGTACTCATATCTGGGATGCATCAGCTTTGCAGTACTTCTACAAATGAACGTGGAAAAATCCTGTACTTTAACCACGTGCTAAACTATCTGTGTAACCTCTACCTATTCCAGTGTTACATTGACTAGAAAACATCTTTCTAGTCAAATAATAATATGCAGTCAGTTATTTCGTTTTCAGTTGCACGTCCCTTGAATCAGTAGAGATAACATTTTATTCTTACCTTTTTTGCCATAATCCCATTGCACATTCAATTGCAGCCATTCTGTGTCTGAAGATCACTTCCTCCTCAAGGAGGCATCAAAACAAGGTAGCTGCTAAACAAATGCTGTCATAAAATACAAATATTGACCTAACTTCATCTCAGATAGCGCCAATGCCTGTGAAACAGCTGAAGACTCCAGACCACCAGAAGATAAGCATCCAAGTAAGTTCTTTTACATAAGATAAAACTCCACTGAAACTGCCTCGACTATTCAGCAACCCATCTTCAGTATTAGCGAGCTTTCTTGGCTTGAAAGCTCTCCACACTTTCATGGCCAGCCTTGAACGAAGCAGGCCTATCACTTCTGCCTTTGTCCCAGCTTATTAACATTATATGCTACGATAAGCATCTGGCATTTTTATTCTTAGAGATTGAATCCACTGTGAGGCAGATGCGAACTAAAAGATTGCTGATGTTTACCTCCCATTTTATGTTTGCAGTAGACAGGAACAATTCCAAACTCAGTGAGAATACAAAACCAGGCTTTACAACCACCAGTCACGTACCCTCAAGTTTCTGTTCCCAAACCACCAGTCACGTACCCTCAAGTTTCTGTTCCCACCTTTCTCAGTGAGCCCTTCCCAAGAATCTTTATGCTGAAATTCTGAGTCTGCGACTTAAAGAAAATCTTAGCAAAAAATATGCTTGACAGCATTGTTTCCTATTGTTCTGTTACAAAATCCACGATACATTTTGATCAAGCAAAAAGTTATTTATTCATTACAAGGTGGCAAAGCGTACCTTGTTTAAATAGTGGAAATGTTGGCAATTTTCCTCTCAGTACAAAAGTATACTGCAGCAATGAGCACTACACATTGAAAACTATGTGGTCTGCACCAAAATGCAACAAAGGACCAAAAACAGGCCAAATGATCACCGAAAAGCTGCAACTATTTCTGTAAAATCTGAGCATAGCCACAAGGTTACGTAGTGAAAAATTTAGACACAGGACTTCAAAAGGGAATCTAGCATTAGAAGATACAGCTACCTTCTTTTCTGATCCAGAAATGGTAGTTACACCCTTTAGGTAACAAAAAGCATTAAAAAGCTAAAAAAGGGTAACGTCATCACTTCCCTCAGTTTTTGTAAAGGACCACTTCCTTAATGTTTTGCTAATGTCAGCCCGGGACTTGCACTTTCCAATGCTGGAAACAACTAACTACGCAGACGCTAACCAGCTGTATCCCTACGTTGCATTGCCATATCTTACAAATACTAGTCTGTGATTGAGACACAAACTATTGCAGCAGCTTCTTAAAGAGGTACAAATGTGGATTAATACCCTGAGCATAAAATTGCCCAAAATTCTGGTGACATACACACCAACGTGAATGCCATTGGACCAACTGGCACGTACATGTAGCACAGGAGATTAAGGACAACAGCTTAAAATCTCCAGATCCACAGTTTTGAAACTCTCTTAGATCCTGACACAAGATTACCTCACTCATGTGGGAGACAATGAGAACATACACCTCACAGACACACATGCTACAGTTTCTGCTGAATTTAGATCTGATGAAAATACAGTGATGAAAACAAGTAATTCCTTAGCAGGGGAGGGTGGCAAGGGAGAGAGAAGGAAATGGCACAAAACTGGGTGGGAACAGGAATTCTCAAAAATATTAGTTATATAAAAATAATAGAGCTGTATCAAAGATCATGCCGTTTTGTGTTCTAGAGCTCATATTTACTACCAGGATGTTGCAACAAAGTTAAAGTTGCAGTGGGTACTAGTACCAGTGATAGAAACAATGGCTTAGACCACAAAAAGAGAGAGCATGACTCAGGGACAAAGCCACTTCCTTGCTACACATACACTTCTGGTATAGTTGGTATTGAGGCACTATTTTGGCTTAGGATTCCACCTGTGTTAGCAGGAGGCCACATCTATTTAAGAAGAACCACATCCTACTATTGACCAAGGTGCGTGCTCCTTCTTCAATACCCCTAAAGCCAAAAGTATTTTCATCTAAGCCAAGACAGCATCTACAGTCCTCCAGAGCTCAAGGAGTCATTTCAATGCTTGGAGACTGATTGACAACCCGGAACAGCCAAAATTTTTGTATTGCTTACCAAGAACTAGAAACTCCAAGTACTTATTTCATCTCCTGAGAGAAAGGAATACATGGCAGAGCTTTGAGAAAAAGCACTGTAGATGGAGAAACAGCAGGTAAAGAGCAGCCTGGACTAGAAAATAGATATGTAAATTGCCTCCGTCAAGCAACTGCTGTCTTTTACCTTAAAGAATTCAGTAAAACTGAATTTTACCAAGACATTCTCACACACATCAGTAGAAAAACTGCTACCCACATGCAAAGCTTAAGGTTTCTCCATTGTGAGAACTCATGCAAAACATAATATAACCTGAGTAACAGAGAAGGACAAACCTGGAGAAGGTATCAGGAGAGGACAAAAAGAGAAATCAGTTGCTAAGTAAACCAAGTGAAAGCAACTTTCAGTAGAGGCAGTGTGTAGGAGCCGAGTGAGGCTGCTACCTCCAGAAGGAGCACAAGCTGCACACATCCCCTGGAAGGGAATGGCTTCAAAAGGGTCTCCAACTCCCAGACAGGAGCCAGAGCAACCATCAGAAGATATGAATATATGCTCTAGACAAAGGTTTCTGCTACTCCCTGATGAGATTTAAACAGGCTGAAACCAGGGGTGAAAAAGACCTAACAATTATTCTAGTCAGTTTAAGGGACAGAGAAAACCAAACTAGAAAGATGTTAATCATCATCTCTTTTCTTAATGTAGATTTAAAATAGCATACCTTTATATCAATACATGGCTTGACCTATCTAGAAATTATGTGCTCACTAAGCGTATCCACCTAAAAAAAGATATAGCAGAAATAGAAAAGCACCAGAGAAGGGCATAAAGAGATTAAAACCAGAGAGAGTCATCTGTATGAGGAGAGATTTAGAAGCCTAAAGATTATTTTGTTTGCAGAGGAGGTGAATTTAGTGAACATAACAGAAGTAGATAAAGTAGCGAAAGGTACATGCGGAAAGTCACTCATGCTGTTTAATCTTTCTCATAAGAGGGTAAAGTAAACAAAAGTAATAATTAAAAGCAGTATAAACAATTACTGTATGAAGTTTTTACCATAAATATTCAGTGAATCAGAGATTATTAGAAATTTAAGAGGACTAAAATTTTATAATCGTTTAGGATTACTAAATTGTCACTTATGTCAGGTAGCATTGTATTTGCATAGGATATCAGTTCGCATCATTTCAACACAATCTGCAAAATCCATCTCAGAATTTTATCAACAGCTTAATGGTTTCCGCTTGTTGCGGTTACTTGGCTAACACCATTTATGCCATTCATTTAAATGAACCTGAGCTAGACCTACATGGCGCAACCACCGCAGCGCAGACAACTAAGACGGACACAGAAGTTTTAGTTTCCTCCGTTCGTTGAGGCGCTCCTGCGACAGCAGTGGCCATTCTGCTGTGCAGAAGTGAGAGGCTGCATGTACGGATCCCGCGGGGGGAACGAACACCAGCTGCACTGTACAGCCCAACCGCATGAGAATCCCCTGCCTTCTTACGCACTGCAGATTCAGAGCAGGCCAGCACAACTACTATTATGGATCTTAACTGACTTTTCCATGAAATTTTACAGTAGGAGCAAAAGGAGAACGTAGCTTAAAGAACAGGATGAGCAGAAGAGGAGCAGCAAGATTCCTTTCCCCTCCAAATCCTGGCATACACTAACACACTGCTGAACTGTTCCTGTTGCATGCCAAATCAGGGCTTGGGTTTTTAAGACCACTGACCCTTCTGTTTCAGACTACAACTCTGTTTACACTATATTTCATTCACAAACACCTAGCAACCTATTGTTCTCGGAGATGCATTATCTGTGCATGCTCGACAGTGCAGCTTTTTTCTGTTCCAAGATTGTTGACACCTGAATTCTGTAACAGCAAAGAACTGATGAGCAACTTCTAGCTGATATACAAAAACGCTTAGGATGTAAGAATTGCTCCCGAAGACTATTCAAATCCAAGCTCGTAGGACATATATGCAGGAACAGAATGTTACACACAGTCACACACAGAAGTTATCTTCACAGCTACTGCCAGGAACAGAATGTTACACACAGTCACAGAAGTTATCTTCACAGCTACTGAGTTAAAGTATATTTATTTTTAATGAAGTCTTAGGTTCAACAAACCTGCATTAGACAGGCAACGTTTCCTGTAACTACAGAGCAAGCGTGTAGATTTGCCAAGTCCTGCTTTTCACAGATACTTAAATGAACGCTTCCTGAAGACACGACTTAATTTCTCTATTTCTGTATCCCTATTTCCTGAGTTATGAAGAGTTTTGTGTATATTTCAGCCTAATGTTTCACAGATACTTGGTTTATTTTATTAGCATGAATGACATTTCTCTTTTATAGTTACGACTCCACTTTTTTGGGGGCAGCGGGGAGGGGGGTACAATTTGAGAGTGGCTATGCAGCTGGGTATTCTTTCTCCGTTAATTAAACTAGAAGCAATGCAGAGGCAGAGTCGCACTTTCAGTTCCTGTGCTCCCACAAGATGACCTCTTGCACAGAAACACAGCATTTTCGGGGTACATCCTGTTTCCTCACGAAGCTTCTCTTCAGCACAGTATTTTTTTGTGTATGCTAAATGGGGATCATTCCCTTACTGCTTTTTCATACTTCCAAATATTTTTCAAACATTTTACACTGACCTACTGTATGTCTACGGATTTAATGAGTATATTGCTAAAAATATAGTTCCATCACATTTTGCTAACTTTTTTTGATATCTACACCTTTTCAAATTTCTGTTTATTCTGTTTATTAATAAACTAGGATATACTGGTACCTCACGGCCAATAATGAACAGCATATACCCAGGAGAACTTGTCACGAGGAGGCTGGAGATGGTAATAACATGGCTAAGAGTTGGCAAAAATACAATAGATCACCTCTATCTTTCCTTATTTAATAGGACCACACAGCTCACTCCTTATACAGACTGCATGTGTTTAATTATCTTTTTTATGTGCCTGTATGCTTTTAGGATTATAATAAAGCATGTACATGTTAAATTTACTTACTAGTGCTAGCAACAGCCTCCCCCCCCCAAAAAAAAAAAAAACAGAGAAAAACTGGTGGTCAGCAGAAAAAAGGTACAGAAGAAAGCTAGAGAGGAAAAAATACAGTTAATGCCTTAAGAGAGCAAAGTGGCTGGAGCGATTAGAGAAGAGCAGCGAGGGGTTAAAACCCATGACTAGCATGATTAGCAAACAAACATTCCAGAGTTCCAGTCTCACCCTAAATCCGATGAGGAAACATAATGGAAGCTCTCATCCCTGCGACTAGCTGACTGTACTACAATATTGAGGATCTGTAGCCTTTGACTGGCAACTCTAAGCAGGCCCATTCTTACATGGTTTTATTTTGCTTGGCATCAGGTAACTCCTGCAGCCTTAAGCACAGGTAGGTCTTCACCGATAAATCCCAGTAACAATTTTCACTTTATAATTTACACATGAAATTTTCCTCTGCTCACTCACTCTCAGTTTGATTCCATGTTCAGGAAAAAAACAATCCATCTAAATCACACGAGAAAACACTAACTGGCCAAAATCTGAAATCTGCAAAATAGAGACAAATGTTTATGCACAAAAGACAGTAATAATTCTTTTTTTTTTTTTTTAAACTTCAAAGTAGTCAGAGCACACTTTTGCCAAAACAGTATGTGGAAAATGTTAATCACTTGACCCTAAACATTATTTCATTTAACATTTCAATCCCATCATTTTCCCCTAAACGTTAATAAGCTTTAATAAAAGCACTTTGGAAGAGCTATTAAAAAAAAAAAAAAAAAAAAAGGAAGAGCAAGCATTACATTGGCCTCAAATACAGGAAGAGCATTAAAAATGTGTACATGTATATTCATTCAGTTAACATCCTCAAGTCTAACCTCCACTACTGCTGCTAAGGGCAGGTCTTTTTAAAGGCTTCAGATAAACTGCAAAAAAGCTGTTCTTTCACAAAAGCTGCTTTTTACATTGATTCGTACTGCACCATTATGGAACAAAATTTCTCAGCACCTTAATATTATTTAGCAGCAAGTGTAAATTTAACATTCTGTGCTGCCAGCTTCTCAAGACACCG